GCAAGCACCATTCAAAAGAACATTTATGTATCCCTCTTATTTATAGAGATATAAGACTTATCCATAGTTCTATATTAGATCTATTAACTGATATACATCATAACAATGTATAAAATAATAAATCGCACACTAATTTCAAAGATCAATACTTCAAGTGATCTAAAACCTGTTCCTGATCCTATACATCTGCCTTACACACACACACACACACACACACACACACACACACACACACACACACACACACTGAGGCTGGTAATACTCATTCAGGTTCCAGAAAGAGTCAACTAAAGTTTGGGGCATGTCAGAACTCATTATTGACTCACCTCCCAACTGGTGCCATTCACAAATTTGTTAGTTTGCTCTAGCTAAGCAAAAGAGGATGTTTAAGTGCCCCCTATTGAGGGCATTTCCCATACTGTTCACCCACTCCATCCCCTTGCCACTAAACACAGAAAGATAGACCAAGAATTTAGAGAAACTACTTTATTCACAAGTAGATAAGTCATATCCCAGAACCAAGGCATAGCACCTAGGTGAGGGGAACTTAGTGATCTTTGCTTACCTAGGACACTGCAACCAAATACTCCCTTGCTCCCTTCTGAGCCAGGACCTGATGCAGGAGCCTTCGTGCATGCAGGACCTTAGTGTCTGGAACTTGGGCACAATGGTGATGGCTGGATGCCTGCTCTGCTCTGCTGTCTTGGGGAATATTTGGGGAGACAATTACTGGCTTTCTCCAGCTACTCTTCCAAAGGAGCTAATTTGGGAGAAAGACTTGGAGGTGAGTTTCAACAAAATCTAAGACAGTCTAAACAAATCAGAACACTGAGGCCTTGCCTGTAGCCTTTACTCAGGCCATTCAAGGCCAGTTGGCATGTAATATATGCAGTTTATGTGCAATATGACAAAGTTATATTTATTCCATAAACATGTAGTTTTTAATATGTGTGCCTACATGGTTGTGTAATTGTGATTAAGAAGAGAGACATTTTTTACCAAGTTAGACCAATGATTAGGGTTGTTTTCAGTACTGTGTCATTTCAGACACTTTGATTTATGAAGAAAAATTAAATTTTCCAGGAATTTTACTGGTATTTCCCCCATTTCCTCTCTAGTTAAGAGCTACCATTATCAAAATAGATCCATATCTATCACCATGCACTACACTCAAGTTCAAATGGATCAATATAAATCCATCCACACTAAAACTCATAAAAGGGAAACATATGAGGCCACTGGCAGTGGGTCCAAGATCTAACACTAATGCACAAACTGACTTATATGGAGAGATACCTTGCCCAGCTTAGACACAGGGCTAGTGGGGTAGAGAGGTGCCTTGATCCTGCCTCAACAAGATGATAGGACAGACTTAGTAGACTCCTATGGGAAGCCTTACCCTCTCTGTGGAGTAGATGGGCAGGGGTGGAAAGTGGAGGGATTGGGAGTGAAGGGGGAGGGGGAGCTGGGATTGGAATGTAAAAAATAAATTAAGAAAAAAAAGTAAGAAAAAAAAAAAGAACTAGCATTATCATTATCTGTTCTGTTCACCTCAAATAATGACCCAACTGTGATTGATGCTAATTGAATTCCACAACAGATTTCATCAGTGCCTTGCCTGCTACCTGTTTTCTCTCCGGGAGCCCCATTTCTCTTCTTTACCATGCTTCCTCACCCTCTTTCAGACTGTAACAGCTCTTCAGACTTCCCTGTAATTTGTGATTTGATAATTTTGAGCAACATGAAACTGGGATTTTTCACAATGTCTTTAGATTTTGATTTATCTGTAATCATAGTTACAGAACATAGGGAGGACAGTGTTGAAGTGTCATTCATACCATAGCAAAAGTGTTTCTACCAACCCTGTGAACCCTTGCTATTCAGTCTGAAGTAACATTCACTGGCTATTCCACTAGATTTGGGTTCAAATCAACTTACCAGGTGAGTAGCCCATTGTGTTGGTTTTCATTGTTCTGTTAACTCATTTACATTGCTCAAATACTTTACAAGGCCCGGGATTTACAAGGGTCATGTGGACATAGACCCATAGGAAGACAAACAAAAACTTCTCATCAACACCATCTGCATCACTAGGACCTATCCATGATTGTTTTTGAGGGAGTCACGTATAAAGAGACCCACCTTTACTTCAGTTTACCATCACTGATGTGTTTATTGTTGTTGATTTACCAGCTTTTAAAAATGAGCTCTGGCCACTCAAGGCATTCTGTAAAGTATCCTTTCAAAGGCCCATTCCAACAGTTCCAGTTTGAAGGAGGGGGGAAGCTAATGAAAAAGATATGTAAACTTGAGCTTGGCTGTGGATTTCTGCATATGCTTCCATCAGTTACTGGATGAAGGTTCTATGATGACAATTAGAGTGGTCACCAATCTGATTACAGGAGAAGGCTGGTTCAGGCTCCCTCACCACTATTGCAAGGAGTCTTAGCTTGGGTCATCCTTGTAGATTCCCAGGAAATTCCCCAACACTAGGTTTCCTTATAATGACTCCCTGTATCAAGATATCTCTTTCATTGCTTGTTGGGGACCATCACCATCCTCACAATCTCAGGTCTCTGAGACATAAAATTACTGCTCCTTAAGAAATAAGCAGAATGTTCAGCAGAACATTCCAAGGTACAGGCTTGTGGTTTTACAACCAGTTAAAGAATAGCTCAGGACTATCTCTCCTGCTGCAGTTTAACAGCCAGTGAAAGAATAGCTAACCAGCTCAGGGCTATCTCTCATGCTGCAATTTACAGCCAATTATAGATTAGCAAAACAATTTAGGGCATTCCTTCTATTGACCTTCTCACCCTGCCTACATGCTGGTGCCCATGCCCTGGCTACGTGCAAGCCCTGCTCACATCCTGCCTACGGTCCTATATAAGTCTCCTCTGAGAAAATAAAATTTGTCAGCTTGATCAGAATACTGTCTTGCTGTCCTTCTTTGTATTCCTTGTCCCCCATTCTCTCCTAGGTGTCCCCCTGGTTCTTCGTTAACTGCCCTGCAGGTTGGGGCAATTGCTCTCCCTCTCTGTCCCTCCCCCAACTTCCCTGTCCCTTTCCCTCAAGTTCTCATCTCCCTTTCCAGTATAACCAGGAGATCTTATCCATTTTTCCTTCCTAGGGTTATCCATGTGTGTCACTGGGCTGAACTCCTGGAGTCCAGTGGAAGAGAGGGAGGAGGGACTATATGAGCAAGGGGACTCAAGATTATGATGGGGACACCCACAAAGATAGTTGACCTGAGCTAGTGGGAGCACACGGACTCTGGGGTGATAGCCGGGGAGCCTGCATGGGACCAAACTAGACCCCTTGTATGTGAGTGACAGATGTGTGACTTGGTCTGTTTGTGGGGCCTCTGGTAGTAGTGCATGAGCTGGCTTTTTTGGAGCCCATTCCCTATGGCGGGATACCTTGCTCAGCTTTCATGTAGAGGAGAGGGACTTGGTCTTGTCTCAATTTAATATTCCAGGCTTAGTTGATTCCCTATGGAAGGCCTTACCCTCTCTGAGAAGTAGACAGTAGTGGAAGCAGAGAAGTAGGGGGAGGTGGAGGAAAGGGAGGGGGAACTGTGGTTGGTATGTAAAATGAATAAAAACTTTAAAATAAAAAGGGAAAACAAAAAAACCAAAATAAAACAAAAAAGAAAAAAGTGTAAACTTGATAACTTAGACTGTAAAATTTGCAGATTTTCCTCATTTATTCAAAAAGAAATTCAACTCAACAGAAGTCAAGCAAATTGAATTTATTTCTAGCATCCTTTACAGAAATACAAAATATTCTTCTTCTTTTAAAATTATCCATGAGAAAATATGTTGTTGAATGCTATAATATGATATACTAGCAATATTCTTCATATTTGAATTGCCACTTGTAAAGAAAAGAGAATGAAGAAAATAATTCAGAATAATGAGAATTTTACACAAAGAAAAAAGTCAAACAAGCAGGAACACCCTTGTATGAGGAGTAGAATTGCTTTTAGAGATACTAAAGCACATTTAAAGAGCTAGAAGATGGCGGTAGAGGACTCTAGAGGTAGGGTCAGAGAAATACTTCACACTAAAGTGAGAACTGAAGACATTTGGACTTGAACTCATTAAGCTCAGTCTTCTTTAAGGAGAGAGGAGAAAGAGATAGGGAGAGAGAGAGAGAGAGAGAGAGAGAGAGAGAGAGAGAGAGAGAGAAAGAGAGATGCTTAATTCATTCCTTTTTTTTTTTCCAGACAGTTGAATAAGTCATTGTCTCCCTGGCCACAGCACACTCATTAATCAGTACTATAGTTTCATCACAATTCTCCACTGAGCCTGCTCTGCTAATAACCTCCAAGATGCCCCAGAAAACAGAGAAGCATTGCCTTCTGGTCCTCCTCCAACCTCTCCAACCATTATCCATCAGTCTTCTGTGGTGGGACCTGCACCTACTCTATTTTGTGATGTGACCCATCTGCTGTGACCAATGCAGCCCTGTCCTTACTCTACTCATTGACAACCTTAGATCTCATAGCTTAGCTGCCAGGAGGTTCTAGCTATGTGTCCAAAGTTGTTGATGTCAACTTGCCTTGATTTCTTCCTGAACTTTAGGACCTCTTTATCCATTGGGCATGTTTTCCTGAGTTTTTCTACCAAGCCCTATAACTCTTACAGTAAAGGGGATCCACCACATGAGCAGACTCTCAACAGTCATTGCTAAGGCAGTGGGACTAATAATCAGGCAGCTTGACAGTCAGAGTAAATCAGCAACAATGAGAGATAGATAAAGGCAAGCCAAGCAAGACTGTTAGTGATATTCACATGGAAATGAAGAAGTGAGAGAGGAAACAAGGGTGAATGGAGAGTGTTGGCATCTGGTGTTGGGTAAGAAGGAGTCAGTATCCAGGAGAGAGTAAAAGAAGGATGCTTAGAAGTTATATGAGTTGATCCATCCTCCGCAGAGCATGTGTGGGGGAGACCCAGCGGGTGCACAAGTGAAACTGAAGCAGGTAAAGGAATTGGTGATCAGTTAGCATACTTGTTCGATATCTTTCTTTTATAACTATTACAAAAATCTTGACTTCGGCAACAAAAGCTTGAAATTTTCAGGTGAAAATAACTCTCTTTTGAAGCCTTACATGGTTTAGAGCACTCCAGTACGGTGTGGTTGTAGAAAAATCCACCTGGAAAGAACATTGATATTTAGTGTCAGAAAATAGTACTTGAAATTCAATGCATGAGAGTCTTTGCTACCCACGCCAATCCTGCTCTTCCACAAGAAACACCATCTCATTGTAAGGTTCCCTTGGGTTCCCTGTAAGCATTACCTCTTGGTTTGAAAACATAGATATCCCTGATTGCGCATGAGCCACCTTCCTCCATGGTACATTTGCCCTCACCATCTACACATCTGCCATTAATAAACATTTTGCAGGCCACGCATATTCTTGCTTCAGCTAGGTAGGAAAGAAAAGAAAAGAAAAAAACACAGACATGGGCTAACTAGGTCAGGAACAACATGGATGAGAACAGTTAAGGAATGAGGCATTACAATAAAAAATTCTCATAGCTTAGGACTGAAAATGCCTCCATTGGACTTTAAGATTTTGCCCATCATTGACCTTTGAGTGTGAATTACATTAGTCATAATGATGCTTTTGTACTGTTGGTAGGTAAAGTTGTGATATGTTAATTATTTCACATAAAATATGATTTTTAAAGAGGGAATCAATAGAGTCGAAAAGATGATCAGTGGTTAAGAGCAGGTACTGGCCGGGCATTGGTAGCACATGCCTTTAATCTCAGCATTTGGGAAATAGAGGCAGGTGGATCTCTGTGAGTTTGAGGCCAGCCTGATCTACAGAGAGAGTTCCAGGACAGCCTCCAAAGTAATACAGAGAAGCCCTGTCTCAAAAAAAAAAAAAAAAAAGGCTCCACCATCTTCTTCTGGACTCTGGACATATTTACACTTATGTGCACAAATGTACATGCACACTCACACACATACATGCAATTCAAAAAAACTAAAAAAAAATAAAGGAAACATGATTTATGCGACAGCTGATGTGAACAAGACAAGGAGGTAAGATATGAGAGATGTGATTAGACAAATAAAATCCACATCTCACACTTGTACTACACTCAGAAATTTAAAATTTACCCCCTAAATCCTATCTAAAGCCCCTATGGTACCAGTCCTGTTCAATACTACATGCTTTGTAAGGGCTAGCATGATGGCTTACCCAGTAAAAGCAATTGCTACAAAGTTTGACAACCAGAGTTTACTACCTGGAACTCAAATGGTAGAAGGAAAGAATCAATTCCCCCAAGCTCTCCTTTGACATCCACTCACACTGTAGCATACTTCCCTCAATCCAACACAGAGATACATAAACATTTTTAAAAGATGGTTAATAACAAGCTGTTCCAGTGACCTCTTCCCAACTATACCAGCATTCAGGCCATCATCCCAGGTTTACTCCCAGACATCTCCAGCCCTTGTCCTCACCCCCATTTCAGCCTCCAAGGACTCACTCTCACCTTGAAAGAACACAAGGGAAAAAGCCCCCAGCAGCAGGAAGAGCATGAACTTGCCCATCTCAGTCTGGGTTGGCAGAGGACACATCAGAGCAGCTGGCAGCAAGTACCCAGGAAAGATTGGGGTAGATGAGAGCAGGCTGCCTTGAGCTACTCCCAGGATGTGGGCAGGAGCTTCCGCACACACCTGCCAGCAGTGCCCAGACTCAGGAAATCATCACATAGAATCAGCTCCTTCAGAGCTCTGCAAGGCAAAGGACATCCCCAGATCCCTCTCATATTCCTTCATGGAATTGTTCACTTCCTAAGTGAGATCCCTGAGACTGAGGTCAGAGAAGGACCATGGTTGGCAATGACCCGAGAAGCCATAACAACAGAACCCTGCGTATGCTCTGTAGTCCAGGATCTGCACTCATTATGCCATGTCTCATGTGTCATACATAGCTCCCTACTCTCTTAGGACCTGTCAATAGCATCCAAACAGCATACATGTAACAGAGGCAACAATAATTTATCATGGGTTGTCTTCCAAAATAAGAATCATTCTCTGCTCCAATTGGCTCTTACTATTTTTAGTTATCCGACCCACATATAGCTAACCAAGGAGATTTACCAAGATACAGACTCTCAGTTTCTGATTCATAGAAAGGTTCAGACAGAATTTCCATCCATTCTTCTTCATATGTTTGTCCTAATGGTGTGGAGGAGCACAGGGCACAAAATGCAAATATTTTCCTGATTTTTAAAATTACTTTTCTACTAATGTGCTCTTCCAACCCTTTCATTGTGCTTCATAAAAATAACTAAACCTGCAGACATCCAATATCCAGTCAAGGAAAAGAGAACGAGTAAGAAACAAGTTCACTAGCTAGGGCTAGGGAACATCATCCTGGGAGGCAGGAGTAGATTTGTGCCTAGATAGGTCCTTTATGGCAAAGCCCTTTGGTCAGGCTCACTCTGCACAGTGCATACCCAGTGGGCAGAGTAAGCACTCAATGTTTACTGATGACTCCACAAAGAATAATATGGGAAATGAGTGAATGCAAGGTGGCCTGTGAGAACAACTACTGAACGCTGAGGGCCAGGATCCTCCATGTTCTAAAATCTGAGAGCCTGATGCATTCATTCCATGCCTCACAAATTCAGCTACCATGCAGGAGAATTCTCTTCCCACCTTCCCAAGACAAAGCTGACACTGGACAAGCTAGACTTGCATGAACAGTAGAGGGCAATAATTCCACAATTTACCAGATACACACCAATTTACAACGCTATCACTCCACTTAGCGGTATGTTCAGCATACTTCTTCAGCAACAACAGTAGAATTCTAGGTGCTTGATACCCTATCATAACTGCCCGGTTATAGTTATCTTTGCTATGATGAAACATCAGGACCAAAGCAACTTGGAGAGGAAAGGGTTTATTTGTCTTATTTACCTTTCCAAATCACAGTCCACTATTGAAGGAAGTTGGGACAGGGACTCAAACATGGCAGGAGGCAGGAGCTGATGCTGAGGCCACAGAGGGGTGCTCCTTACTGGTTTGTTCATCATGGCTTTCTCAACCTGGTTTCCTTTTTCTTTTCCCTTTTTCTTTTTTTCTCTCTCTCCTCTATCAAGGTTTTTATTTACAAATTTTCATCTTTTTAAAAATTTTATTTATTTTACATCCAGACTGCAGTGTCCCGCTCTCTTCTCCTCCCAGTATCCAGTATCTAAATCCTCTCCCCCATTTCTATTCAGAAAAAAGCATAAGTCTTGGATTTTACAGAACCCTAGACACCAGCCCAGGGGTGGCCCCATCCACAATGGGCTGGGCTATCCCCCATCAATCACTAATTAAGGAAGGTCTGCCTATAGCCAGATTTTTTTTCTTTTAAAAAAGATGATAATATTTTTATTTAAATTTGAAACAAGCTTGTTTTACATGTTAGTCCCAGTTCCTGCATCCTCCCCTCCTCCTCTGTCCCCCTCCCAACTCCAATTCCCTCCCCTTTTTGCTCCTCAGGGAGGGTGAGGCCTTCCATGGGGCATCTTCAAAGTCTGTCACATCATTTGGAGCATGAACCAGGCCCTCTCCTATGTGTCTAGGCTGAAAGAGTATCCCTCTATGTGGAATGGGCTCCCAAAATCTATTTGTATACTAGGGATAAATACTGATCCATTACCAGAGACACCATAGACTTACCAGTCCTCCTAACTAAGACCCACATTCAGGGAATCTGAGTCAGTCCTATGCTAGTTTCCCAGCTATCAGACTGGAGTCCATGAGCTCCCCCTTGTTCAGGTCAGCTGTTTCTGTGGGTTTCTCCAGCCTGATCTTGACCCCTTTGCTCATCACTCCTTCTCTGTTACTGGATTCCAGGAGTTCTACAGCCTGATCTTGTGAAGGTGTTTTCTGAATTGAGGCTCCCTTCTCTTCAGTGACTGTAGCTTATGTGCAATGGACAGAAAATGAAACAGCACAATAAATGAGATGAGAAACGTGATATGAAAATAACAGAAAATAAGGAAACAGAATCTACCCAAATTATTGGAACTGCCAATGAACAAATTTGTTGTATGGTATTAACTTTATAAAAATACTCTCTTCTTTACTTCAAGAATATAACAACAATAATAATAATATAGAAACTGTGATTAGGGAAAAAGAAAAATGCTCTCTTACTGCTGGCATTTCTGGTATCCTGATTATCCAAAGCCTAGAAGCTTGACTTATTGGATTGCTCCCATATTCATATTTAGTTGCCTTTCCTTTCCTTTTTCTTTTTGACAAGGTTCCTCTGTGCAGCCCTGGCTGTTCTAGAGCTCACTTTGTAAACCAGACTGGCCTAAAACTCAGAGATCCACCTGCCTTCCAAGTGATGGGAATAAATGCAAGCATCACCACCCCTAGGCTAGTTTCCTTTCTTCTACAGCCTATACTCACCTGTCTAGGGATGGTACCACCCACAGTGGGCTGGGCCCTCCTACATCAGTTAGTAATCAGGAATTTGCCCTACTTCTGTATCACATGTCCTAGTTAGGGTTTCTACTACTGTGATAAATGCCATAACAAAACAAATGAACAAACAAACAAAAAACCCAAACCAACTAAACAAGAAAACAGGGAGGAAACGGTTTATTTCATCTTACAACTCTCAGAATACATTCCATCACTGAGGGAAGTCAGGGCAGGAACTCTAGGCAGGAATCTGGAAGCACGAACTGAAACAGAGGTCATGGGGGAGCAGGGCTTACTGTCCTGTTCCTTACGGCTTTCTCAGTCTGCTTTCTCATACAAACAAGGACATGTGTCCAGGAGTGACACCACTTACACCTTCTCACACCAAACATTAATTAAAACAATACCCCATAAATAGGCCCACAGTCCAGTCTTATGGGGGCATTCTCTTAATTAACATTCTCTCTTTTCAGACATGTCTAGGCTTGTTCCAAGTCAGCCCAAAGAAACAAGCACAACATACGAAAGAAATACAAACGAATATATTTGAAAAAGAAAGGAAAGTCAAGACCCTGCAGAAATCTTCCTCTGTAGGCCAGACAGGCTTTGAACTCACAGAGATCCACCTGCCTCTACCTCCACCTGCCAAGTGCTGGGATTAAAGGTGTGCACCACCTCTGCCCAGCATCTGTGTGTTTTCTTACAGTAGACCCCATCTGGGTGGGGGTGAACTGGGAGGAGTGGGGGAAGGAGTAACCATAATCAGAATATGTTGTATGAACAAAGTCTATTTTCAGTAAAAGAAAAAAATTATCTACAACAGAATAACACAAATTAAAAAGACCCAAATACATACCCAAAGGAATGAAAATATGAGCATAGCACTCTAGAGTTTGTAGATGTGTACCTTTTTCTATTTTCCTTTTATCTAATGGCATCTTCTAAGAAGCAAGCAGGCATCTTCCTAGACACAGGCATAGAAATGTCAAGTAAGTGTCTCTAGAAGTTCAGGTACCAGCAAATGGCTGTGCTCCTCCAGTGATGCAGACAAGAATAGCTGAAAAGTCAGGATCCGGTGTCCTAGTGGAGAGTCTTCTAAAGCTGTTACAGCCTAGGAAACCCTTCCATATGCACTTCACACCATTTCTATATTTCATGGTTCTAAGGTAATTCCTCTCTTGATTCTGATAGAAGTCGTTGAAGAAAATGCTGACATTGAGCCTATTCTGTTTTCTCTTTGGGATGTATACTCACTGAGGTAGGCAGATTGTAAGTTCAAGATCAGCCCGTGCTACACAGAAAGATGCTGTCTCAAAAGAAAAAAAAGTAATAATAATAATTGAGAAAGGTTAAGTGATTTATTAAGGTCAAACTAGCAAGGAACAAAGTGGATGTCAACTTGTGCTGTTTCCAAAGTGCACTCAGCTGTTAACCAGATAAAGCATTCTGTATACTATGGCTCAGACACAGCAGGGAGTCATCCTGTATTTTTTCCTCTGATTTCTGGGATGTTTTAAGCACACATTAAATATCTCCCTGCAGTCTTAGCAAATGTCAATAAGGTCAGCATTGCCTTGGTTTGCTTTAACCATCTGACAGGAGAGCCACAGTTAAGGAATTTCCTAGACTAGATTGACCAGTGGCCATGCCTATGAAGGTTGTATTGCTTACTAATTATTGCTATAGGAGGGCTCAGGCCACTATTTACAGTACCATCCCTAGGCAGGTGTTCCTAAGAAAAGTAAGCCAGTGAGAGGTCCAGCAAGCAGTATCCCTCATTGTTTCTCGCCTCCACATTCCTACCTTCAGTTCCAGTCATGACTTTTCTAAATAATAAATTCTAGCCTGGGTATGTGAGTCAGACAAGCCCTTTTCTTCTTGAGTGGCTTTTGGTCAAAATGTTTTATCACAGCAACAGAATGAAACCATCAGATATATTAAGATATTTTTAAATGTGGTGTTATGAGGCAAAGGGCAGAGGATCAACCAACATGGAAGAGAGTGAGATAGGATAGCCCTGTGAGGACAAATCTTAGAACTCAAGGACCCATCTATCCTCACATACTCACAAGGGTTCGTGTCGATGTCTTATTGGGTGATGTCATTTTTTGTGTGAA